TACATAAGGGAATAAATTTGGTCATTAAAAATATCTTATTTTTTGCTTAAAGTTATTGTTGAACTTGGAGAATACAACAAGAACTAATTCAATTCAACATAATACACAAGTAAGACACACTCTAAAATCATAAAAACATCATGTTAAACTGTTTGGCAACTTGGAGAGTACAACTCAAAATTTACAACCTACCTTGTTCCCTCATTTTCACTGTCACCCTCATGAATGCCAAAGAAAATAGTATCCCAAAGACCAAGAAACTCTGCGTAGAGATCTCACAAATGGACGAGCATCGATTCTTGTAAGTTAGTCAAACTCTCAAACCAAGCTGAACAAGGCTAAGAGTAGCAAATGCCTTGCAATCAAATGGCAGATTCAGGATTTAAGCAATATGGGTTCAAACTTATTATACTTCTAAAGTTATGGGTCTATATATATATTGTAGTTTTAGTAGATTTTTACACATACATTTATACTTCACGTCGAAAGTACTAGGTTCAGATAAACTCGATTCTTTCAAGTTGTATCTGCCCCTGAGCACATCACTTTCACTAATCATCTCACATAACATCTTCTTTTTTTTGGTTAAAAGGGATGTTGTATTTATATACTAGTTAACAAAAGGAACCACATCAGGGACATTACTAAGGTATCGCAGGGACCCCATAGTTACAATGTTTTGCATAATTGTATTTAAGTTAAAACCCAAAAAAGACCTAACTAGTTCAGTTCCTAGGATGTCTTCCCAAAATACATCATTGACAAACATCGGAGGAACTGATAGTGTCATAGTTTTGTTCAAAAACATCTCTTTTGTTGCTTCCTTTGCCAAAGCATCAGCGACTCTGTTCTGCTCTCGGTAGATAGGCCTCACTACCACGCTGCCCATCCTTTGGATGATTGACCTGCATTCACAAATTAGAGGGTCAAAAATTAGACTTCCATTCAAAAGCATATTAATTGTTTCAGATGAATCAGTGTTTATTTCCATTGGTACTAGGTGGTTCTGCTCCGCCAGTTGTAGGCCCCGTATTAGGGCCTGAACTTCTGCCCTTGTGTTTGTTTTTTGGGGGATTTTGTCCATGTAGCCCAATATCCAGTCACCATTGTGGTTTCTGAATACTCCCCCTGAACCTCCTATTCCTGGGTTTCCCCTTGTTGCTCCATCTTTATTCAGTTTGTAAGAACCTCTGGATGGAGGTTCCCATTTTAACATGATCTGGTGAGTTACCTTTGTTGAGTCATTATTTGTAAGCATAAGGTACTGAGTTGCTTTCGAGATTGTGTTATTGGCATTGATGTGCTCTTTCTTGTTATTGAATACATTGCTGTTTCTGGTTAGCCAGATGTGCCACAGACAAAAGGGAATGAGGTTGTCCCAGCATATGTGATTGTTGAAAGGGACATTTTTGAGAGAGTTCCATGTTGATTGCCACTGGAGGCTATTGAAGACATGGTGATTATTTGAACTATTACCTGTAGATTTGGATAGAATGTCATTCCAGAAGTGGACAGCACTAGGACATTCAAAGAAAATATGGGCAATGTCTTCTTGCTCATCGTCACAGTAGTGGCATTGAGGGACACAGTTGATTCCAATAGAGTGGAGGAAGCGCCTAGTTGGAAGTCTCTTATGTGTTAGGAGCCAGATGAAGTATTTTATTTTGTTAGGGGTTTGAAGCTTCCAGATCCATTTTAAGGAGCCTTCCTCCCCAGAAAGGAGGCTGGTTTTAGTCCTGCTTAGGAAGGAGTAAGCAGAACTATTTGAGAACTGGCCATTAGGGGTCAAGTCCCATATAAGATTATCCTCCTTAGCTATAACCGGGGGTATGATCACAAAGTTCAGTAGGTTCAGAATGCTTGGGGGGATGTTAATGGACAAGGCTGATATGTCCCAATTGCCCATGTTGTGGATTGAGCTAACCTTAGCCTCAAGGTCATTTTGGGTTAATGGGCCTTCAATCATTTGTCTGATTGCTGGCTGATTAGGGATCCAAGTGTCATTTAAGAAACTGACCCTATTTCCTTTGTGGACTACCCATCTGCTTGCTTTGTTACATATCACCTAGCCCTTTAGAATGCCCTTCCAAGTTGGAGATTTTGGGTGTTTAGGGTGCCTGAAAGCTCTAACTGGTCTAGACATGTTGCAATGTTTGTAAATGAGAACTCTAGCCCATAGGCTGTTGGTATTCTTATAGGTTCTCCATGAGCTTTGTTCTTGATACTGGCCTTTTGGAGCCCTAGCCCTCCCTCAGCCTTGGTCTTAGTGACTACCTCCCACTTGATCAAGTGTAACTTCTTCCTTTCAGTGGTGGTGCCCCAAAGGAAGTTTCTCTGAATTCTATCAATCTGGTTGGTGATTTTGGTGGGTAGGTTTATGTATTGCATAACACGGCTTGGGATGCTGTTCAAAGAAGTTTTGGCCAGGACTGTTCTACCAGCCATATTGAGGCATTTAGTTTTCCAACCAGCCATCTTGGATTGCATGTTATCAATAATGAATTGGAAGTCTGTAGCTGATTGTTTTTTGTGAATAATGGGGAAACCAAGGTATTTTCCAAAGGATGTTGTGTGCTTGATGGACAAAGAATTGGTGAGATGTTGAATTACATCTTGAGTGATGTTTGAGGAAAACAGAACTCTTGATTTGGTGAGATTGATTTTTTGTCCGGATTGCTCATTGAAGTTCTGCAGTATTGAAAGAATGGTATTGCAGTTTCTGTCATTGGCTTTAGCAAAGAGAGTGAGGTCATCCGCAAAGAAGAGGTGGGAAATTTTTGGTCCAGACCTACTTATACTTATGGGGTGCCATTGGTTATGTAGTACTGCCTTATCAATAGATCTTGATAATCTTTCCATGCACATAATGAATAGGTAGGGGGACATAGGGTCGCCCTGCCTAATGCCTCTGGAGGGTTTGAAAGACTCTGTTTTCCCGCCATTGACAAGAATAGAAATGGATGATGTACTGATGCATGACATGATGAGTTTGGATAGGCCATGGGGGAAGTTGAAAACAGAGTGTCTCTAATAAAGGACCATTCCAGCCTGTCAAAGGCCTTCTCTAGGTCTATTTTTAGGATCATGTTGCCACTTTTCCCCCTCATTTTCCTGAAGTGAGTGATATACTCTTGGACAATGATAGCATTGTCACAGGCTCTTCTATTAGAGAGGAAGCTCGCTTAGGATAGGCTTTATCCTGTTCACAATGATTTTTGTGACTGACTTGTAGATGGTGTTACAAAGTCCAATGGGCCTGAAATTTTTTAGCATTGAAGCTTGGGGGAATTTAGGGATTAGGCACAGTAGGGTTTGGTTCATGGTGCTATCCATAGAGCTTGTAGAGAAGCAATTTTGGCAGAAGTTCGTGACAGACTCCCCTACTATATCCCAATACTTTTGGTAGAAGAAGGGGTGAAGGTCATCCGGGCCAGGAGATTTGAAGGGTTTATGGGAGAAGACTGCCCTTTTAATCTCACTCACATGAAGAGGTTTGTCCATAAAAACCTTTTGGCTTTAAGACAGAATGGGTTCCATGGTGGAGTGGTCTGTGGGATCCCAAGGGGCTTCAGTGTGGGATGTTGTGTATAGCTCAGTAAAGAAGCCCACAATTGCTGAATGTATGTCCTTTTGGTCATGAAGCCAATTTCCATTCTCATCTTTAAGAGAGAGGATTCTGTTCCTCCTTCTTCTATTGAGGGTGGATGTGTGAAAAAATCTAGTGCTAGCATCACCCTCATTTAACCAGTTGATTCTAGACTTAAGTTTCCAAAAATCTTCTTCATTTTTGAGGATTAGGTTGAGTTCAGCATTTAGCTCTGTTTCAAGGTGTAACAGGTAACTACTGAATTGATAGCTAGGAGATTTTTAGATTCCAGAGATTCTTGCCAAAAGTCTCTTCTTTTGATGGAAGATGATTCCGAAGACTTCTTGGTTCCACTTAGTTACCAGAATCTTGAAGCTTTCAGTGGATTGAAGAAGGGTGGAATGGTCAAAGAAGGACCTATTGATGATGTTAGGGAAGGAAGGGTGACTAGCCCACATTGACTCAAACTTGAAGGGCCTTGATGGTTTTTTGTTTGGAGGCCCTACCAAGTTAATTTGCAAAAGGAAATGGTCTGAGTGGGTCCTAGGGAGGTGAAGTACGGAAGCTTCGGGGTACTGTTCAATCCAGCCTTCATTTGCAAAGCACCTATCTATTCTTTCCAGAATTAGAGAGGTTTTGTTACTGTATCTTTTATTAGTCGAAGTGTATTTACTTCCTTTATAGCCTAAGTCTAGGAGGTTACACTCATTTATACAGTTCCAAAACAGGCTGCTACGGCTCAGGTTTATGGGGTTACCCCTAAATTTGTCCCTGGCCTTTAAGACTTTGTTGAAGTCTCCACCTATAAACCAGATGGTTTTTATGTTTTTTGACATTGTGATTAGGTCATCCCATAGGAGTTTCCTATTTGCTAAGAGATTGCTAGCATAAATAGCAGAGAAAAGCCATGGAGGGTGGTCTGGGCTTACCTTCACCATTGCGTGGATGCCTTGGGGGGTAGTTGCCACTTCTTCAACAGCCACGAACTCCTCTTTCCACATAAACACAATACCCCCAGACGGGCCTATTGCCGGGAGACTGGATGATCATATCGAACTGAAGTTGCTGGGCTAGGGTCTGGTGGTCTACCATCTTCGTTTCCAGCAATACAAGCATGGCAGGCTTGTGCATTTTCACCATTTCTAAACAGTGCCGTTTGAACTTGGCATTGTTGCCACCCCTAACATTCTATATGATGTAGTTCATCATTGGAGTTGGGGGTGATTGGTGAGTTCCCTCTTGAGGGCTCTTTGATCCTTGCAGACCCGACATTTGAGGTAGGGGGGGCTTCCTCTTGAGACTCACGACTGGAGTTAGGTTTAGAAGGGGTTTCATCGGACCATTTGTTTGGGATGAGACTAGGCTCATTCCACACTTGGTCATTGTTCTGGGGCATAGTACCACTACTATCTCGCTAGTTTTCGTGCTGAACTCTATCGATCTCACTGAGTCTAGGAGAAGTGAGTCCGTTCTTGGTGCAGCATAAGGCATTTCCTGTTCTTCTGAGGCATTCTTCTTCTTGAGGATCTCCAGTGCTTTGGAGATTCCTTTCTGGATATTCTGAAGAGGTGGGGAGTTGCTCTTCCCCTTTGGAGAAGAAGATGATGGGTTGTTTTGGGTTGGCTGGTCGATCATGATGAAGAACGGCTCCGCTGCTGGGTCCTCTTTCATCAGATCCAGGAAGAAGGGTAGGGTTTGGAAGCTCTGCAGAATGTGATTGTTGAGAGCTTGAGGGTCCGTTAATGGGAAGCTGTTGTTGCTGTTGACCATCGATTGCCATAGGAGAGGTCCAAAAGCTGCCAACGCTTTGGTCAGTGCTTCTACCGTGACTCTGGCTAGGTGGGCTGGGTTTTGCACTATTAGGGTCACCTTCTGACTGGCCAGGGTGAAATTGTAGGAGAGTCCCTGTCCTTGCAGAGCAACCTCCAACCAAGAGGCCGGTTCGTGGTCTGGTGGTGGTGGTAGGGAGGTGATGATGGTTGGTTGAGTTTCTTTTGCCATTTTTGTGTTTCTTTGTTTTTCTACTTTGGGTAACAGGGGGGTAAATTTAAGGGTCATTCGATCCATCATAACACCTTTTGGTGTCACATCTTGGACAGTGGAAGGATTTCTGGGCATCGGAACTAGGGGTGGGATGGTCATTAATTGGGGATCTAATGGAGGTGACGGTTATAGTCTTTTCATCTGGAAATGGGGGGGTACCATATAGGGTACTCGATTGTTGTTGGTGACTGTTGATATTTCTCCATTAGAGGTTGTTTCAGGCGTGTTGGTAGGGAAGGCGTAGGTTTGTGTGTTTAGGTGGGGAATTGGGTTGTCAGTGGTGCCCATATTGGAGTGCCCGTTTGGGGAAAGGGGATCGGCCCCATTGGGTACGTCGCCCTTTTTGAGGATTGTGGTCTTGGGAGTTGGGTTAGAGGTCCCTTGGACGCTGGGCTCATGATTGGTGTTAGTGGGGTCGTCAGCAGTTGGCCCCGCTTTCCTTTTGGCGCCTGTACTGGGCTGCGTTCGTGGGCCTGTTTTCTGCTCGTGATGAGGCCGATCTTGTGTGTTAGCGTGGTTTTTATTTAGTATTGGGCCGTTGTGCCTCTTTTGTGTATTTTGGGCGGGGTTAACTTTTTTTAAATTATAACGAAGAGATTGAGTTTGTAGAAATTTACCTGAATTGGCATCAAACACGTTTACCTGTATCTCTTCCGCCTGTGGAGTATGTTGTGGTCTATTCATTCTACCATCATTCTTGATTGTTGATTTTGCTTGTCCCTGCTTGCGTCTTCTTGGGAAGGTGACAGTTTCCCACTCACTTTCCTCCGAAATGACTGCTGTCTTTTGATGATCATCCTGTGGTTCGTGGGTTGCTTTGGGTGTGGGTGCCCTGTAGTTGCAAATTTGTGCGGTGTGCCCTATTCTGCCACAAACGGTGCATAGAGTCCCCTCTCCTTCATAGATCACAGCTTGCTTATGGTCACCTATTATTACCGATGTTTCTACTGGGGTTTCCAGTGGAACTTGAATACAAATACGGGCACATCTTCCCCTTAGGGTAGAGGATGTACAATGATCTATCTTGAGAAGTTTGCCCAGCTTCCTACCAACTTTCTCCAGGATATCCTGGTCGTAGAACTCTGTTGGTAATTGGGGTAGCCGGATCCATATGGCATTAGAAGTAAGAGTGGCTTCTTGAGGAACAAACTTTGGTTCCCATTTACGTACGGATAGGAAACTTCCAGAGATGAACCAGGGGCCTAGGTGTAGATCCTTAACCATACTTTCTTCTTAACTAAATTTAACTATGTAGAAATCCCACCCTAGGTCAATCAAGATTAACTGTTCGGATGGCTTCCATAGGTCGTTTACTTTAGATCGAAGGAGATGGTGGGGCATCTTTTGCTTGAAAACTTTGATGATTACCTAGTAACGCCATGGAAAGTAGAGGCGCTCTTTGTCATCTTGTGAGAGTGGAATTGAACCCTTAATGTGCTTCCCTTTGTCCAGATCTGGATTTTGTTGGTGGTCACTTTCATAGTAGTTTGTTTGGTTGCTCGCTGGTTTGTCCAAGAGCATTTCCTTATAGGAGTGATGAGGTAGTTCTACCTCCATTTGGCTGTGCTTATTAGGCGGTTCCGGTGGGAGTGGTGACTTAATCGGAGGGGGATCCATAGTATGGGAATAGTACTCTGAGAGAGAATAGAGAGAACTTTCGAAAAAGAACTTTTTAGCTCCAAACGTATTCAATATAAATGGTAATAATAACCACTATATAAATAATATTTTAGACTTTAAAATTAATTAAGAATTTAATATTTCTGCTGATCTAATATTTAGGATTCTGATGTCTACTATATATTTGTCACTTTGAGAGTTTGAGTATTCTATTTCATTCTAGAAAGAATTTCATTGGAATTAATTTACCGTGTTGAAAAATTATAGTTAAAAAAACATAATACTAAATAAATATATTATTAAAAGACTTAACTTTCTAGGCAATACCTAATGACTTATTATATAATGCATATTCCTGTTAACTAGATACAAAAGTACCTAATTTCTTGAGCAAATTTTAATAATTTTTCTATTGTAAGATTATATTTATGTTAACTAGATGGAAGAAATTAAATATACAAATTCCTTTTACAAAGTCAAAAGCATGTAAAACACATGGCTCGTAGAAACAAGTGGAACAAATATGCAGATTTGTTTAGTTATGTTCTCTTGTAGATATTTTGAGATAAGAAACATTCTTAAGTAATTTATTTTTTAAGAATAAAATACCTTACTATCTAAAACTTTGAGAAAAGATTTTTCAATGTTACAAATCTGTATAATACATCTAAATAGCTAATATTACTACCTCAATATATTCATATCTTATTGCCTATTGTATGACGTTACTTATATGTTAGTTTACAATGACATACTCTTATATCATAAAAATACTAGTACGATCTTTTTTTATCACAAGTTCGTACTTTGAGTATGTCTCGCATGTCTTTCTTTTTTTCTTTTATAATTGTGCCCGGTGAAAACGCTATTGTATAAAATGAATCGAATGGAGTACCAAATTAATAGGTTTGCTGAATCTCAGATGCATGTCTATAGAAGCTTGTAAGAACTAGAAAACACATCAAGAGCATGCAGCACACAAAATTAGGCCAAAACAGGTTTCCAGCAAATATTAAAAATGCCCAGAAAAGACCCACTAAAAGAGAACCAAATTACCAAAGATAAGTCTCATCCTTTTTTGGTCAATTTTTTCTTAAATCTTCACCTCAACCCTGAGAATAAAAGGGCGAGTAGGAAAAATTTTCTCGCTATCATCTTCATATAGTTCATAATTATCGATATAAGCATTATAGTGGCAACATTTTCTAGCTGAATGCTGCACCACCGGGGTAGTCTATTCTCCCACAAGCATCACACTATATTCATGGCTTTATGCTGTTCTCTTGATGATGTGAACCCCGCTGTCAGTTTCCACGATGTCACTTATCTCGCCAACTTTTAGAGCATAAGTTGCTTCTTCAAAAGGTTTCTGCATCTGACCTTTGCCAAATGGACCTGCATGTGAAAACTTTAGAGGTTTGTATAACTTGCTAAACAATACAAGTAATACCCGATTCAAAAAGATCATTAACGAGACAGAACTCGTTGCTGTCTAAGAAACTAAGAGAAATTGTGCGCGTCCATTAAAACCATCGGCGATCTCTATATTAAGATACATTCCATGTGATAGAGCAGTATATGAACAGCTAATTGATTCAGAACTATGTATTTTCTTTTATAAGTAGTTTACCTGGAACTAGGTTATCGACAATAAAGCAAAGTTAGAGAAATTTTGTGGCCTTTAGGAAGCCATAAGAACCCGAAGACAAGAGACATCAACACTAAAAATATTTGTTGACAAATTCTGAGCTATGGAATGGGGCAACATGTTATTGAGAAAACTACTACACAAAACTTGAGCTGCATTAATCTGGATACAATATTTTCCTTTTCTTTTTTGACAAGTGCGAATAATTTATTTCTCATCTTTCAAACAATCTACAAGTTCAGTTAGCAAGAACAAATGTATCAGATTGCTCTATTCCACAGCTCCAGAACCTCAAAGCCTTTTAATGACACATTTATATCCTAAGAATCACTTCACTAAGCAGAGAATGCAAGTTTCTAATAAACCCTCATAGGAACATCTTAATACATGAGCAGGAAGAAGCCTTCTCTCCCGTGAAAGATACAACTAGGTGTCGTGGAGAATGTTTCTTCTGTAGTAACGATATCGGAAGTTTCTTTCAACCTTAATTTCTTGACAGATGATAGGATAAGTGGATGTCACACCCAAGGGTGGCCCAGTGGGCAATGAAGTGGGTGAAAACCATGAGGTCTCAGGTTCAAATCCCAATGGAGGCAAAAAATACTAGGTGATTTCTTCCCATCTATCCAAGCCTTGGTGGATAGAGTTATCTGGTATCTGTTGCTGGTGGGAGGTGGCAGGTATCCCGTGGAATTAGTTGAGGTGCACGCAAGCTTGCACAGACACCACGGTTATACAGACACCACGGTTATAAAAAAAAGAATAGCATAAATGAATGTGAAATGCCTCTGCCAAACGGCTCTGTTAGTCACAATGACTTTTTAAAAATACCTCTTTTTTATACCAGATCACTAACTAAACAAACACACTACTAGAATTAACATGGAACCAACATGAGGGTCTGGATTAGGCCGCTATGAAACAGTTAGCAAGTTAAAATTACCTTTTTATGCATATGAAGGAAAATACCAATTTGTCTATTCACCCGTAGATTATGATTTTGAACTTCAAATTTCCTACCTTGGTGTAATCAGAAAAGAAGTCATAGGATGTTGATGGAGGAATTATAGTTTCGACCATTAAATCCTGTTTGTTGCTTCTCTTTCAAAGCAAATGGCTATATTGGGCAAACTATTTTAGAATCTATTGTATGCAAAATCAGGACTTTATATAACAATCAAATTTTAGTTAAAACAGTTAATTGCCAAATAGTGTCCAAATACAACAAACTGTGGAAGTTTTTCTGAACCTTAAACATGCTATGCAGAGTGGATAAGTTAAAGAATTATTCATGGTTTCAGGCTTTCAGCCAACTAGAAAGGCCTGGAAATTGCAGCGGATGTCTGTGCATGAAGAAAGAGTTTTCGTGACCAAATTACGTAAACTGTCAGATGAGAATACAAGTTAAGCCACAGTTTTGATCTAATGTACAGTTCTACAGGAAATAAGATAAACTAAGACAGCATCCCTGCTGATTAACAAAAATGCTTTTATATCAAATAAAAGTGCAGAATATATGGTAAAGTTTAAAAAAAAAAAAAAAAAAATCTGCAATCAGGAAGATGGCATCAGCTTGCTATGAACATTGAAATACATTCAATCAAACACTCATCCTTCGTCTAGATGCATTTTAAATCCTCGTGAGGATAAAATTAATACTACCTCAATTCCATTTTGTACTATCACTTTTTTCTTGTACTTTGTTCTACAAATATTGACCCATTTTCTGGTGACGAAATTACAACATTCAAAGATTATAACATATGACAGTTATTGCTTTGTATTGTTTTAAACTTACTATGACATCCTTACAATCTTCTGACATTTTCACCCCTTATTTAAACATAATTTGAACAAACTCAAATGTAATAATTCAAGTAAATTTCTTTTTTAATTGTCGCATTAGTCAAACAACATCCATGGAAAAACACCAGAAAGCATCTAAAAGCATGAGTCCTAAGACATATAACCACAACATAAAGGAGATATTTAAAGAACATGAACTGCTAAGATACAAAAAGTAACAATTGGAACAGAATATGGAGGCGAAAAGCATGAAACCAAAAGGAGACTAAGCTCCCGTTTGGCCATAGATTTTGGCTACTTTTTTTCAAAAAAAAAAATTGAATATATTGTTTGTTCATGGAATATGATTAGTTTTTGGAAAAAAAAAATCAAGCTCCCAAAAACAGGTTTAGGGCAGATTTTGGGTGAGATTTTTCTTCCATCACAAAACTTAACTTTTTTTTTTTTCCGAATAAAATGCATGTCCAAACACAATTTCAACTTCCAAAAATTATTTTTCAACACAACTTCAAAAACTCTTTTTTCAAGTTTCAACCAAGTCTATGTCCAAACGCTAGCTTAAGAATGAGGACAAAACCCCTTTCAGATTTAGAATGATTTATCATTGAACACAGCCGCAAAAGTGTAGTAGACAAGACACTGAAGAGCATGAGGTACTGACTTTTTAGAAGCAAGAAATGATTTACAAAAACACAAAATCTCTAACATACTTAATGAAAGAAATAGGGGCGGAGGGAGAAGCAGATTATATCTATAGCTCCAGTGGGAAGCATTAGTTTCCCCACCTCCTCATTTAATTAGTTTTCACCAAGGTTGGAAGATGATATTTGTCAAGAAGCAGAGACTGTCTGGCTAGAGATTGAAGACTACCCTGCTCCCGGAGATTTAGATAAGTAGATAGATGGGTAGAATTGACACAAAAATCAACCGGAACTGCTCGTTATCTGCAACATAGAGACAAGGCCTCCAAACTCGGGCACTGACTATTCAACGATTCAAGAAGAATCCATCACTTCAGAGTTCGATGTCTTCAATTTTTACACCAATCCTTCAGTGGGAATCGGTACTCATAGGCTCTATGAAGCAGAAAGTGTCTGGGAAAAAGTGAGATACAGTTGCACTTAAATGCGTTGATTCCTCGAAGATGGCC